CCCCACCCCCTCCCGTGGGCAGCCCCTTCCAGTGCTTGACAATCCTTTCGGTCAAAAAATTTTTCCTCATGTCCAACCTAACCCTGCCCTGGCACAACTTGAGGCCGTTTCCCCTTGTCCCATCGCCCGTTCCCTGGGAGCAGAGCCCAACCCCCCCCGGCTCCCCCCTCCTCTCAGGCGGTTGTAGAGGGTTATAAGGCCTCCCCTCAGCCTCCTCTTCTCCAGGCTGAACACCCCCAGCTTCCCCAGATGCTCCCCAGAAGCCTGGGGCTCCAGACCCCTCACCAGCTTCCTCGCCCTTCTCTGGACACGCTCCAGCTCCTCCAGGTCCTTCTGGGAGTGAGGTGCCCAACCCTGACCCCAGCATTCGAGGGGCAGCCTCACCAGTGCCCAGGACAGGGGCATGGTCACTGCCCTGCTCCTGCTGGCCACACCACTCCTGATACAAGTCACAATGCTGTTGGCCCTCTTGGCCACCTGGGCACCCTGCTGGCTCATGTTCAGCCACCTGGTGACCAACACCCCCAGGTCCTTTTCTGCCGGGCACCTTTCCAGCCACTCTTCTCCATGCCTGTAGCGTTGCATGGGGTTGTTGTGACCCCAGTGCAGGACCTGTCCCTTGGCCTTTTTAAACCTCACACAGTTCTCCTCTGCCCATTGATCCAGCCTGAAATTATATACATATATTTTTTTTTTATTCCTGTCTTAAGGAACATCAGAGTGAGCTCTAGAGCAATAGAAGCCATTGACTCTATTGTTGTACTGGAATCAATGCAGCTGGAGACTACTCCAATTTATCTGTGCTGACAATATGAACTGCCTGAAGAAGAAGCAAGAAGAAAGAAGCAAAGAAAAAAGAAAGAAGCAAAGCTCCCTGCTTGAGCAGCAATGGCAGAACTCAGAGCTGAGCAGAGTCCAAACGCCCCGCACTTCACCTTGATGTTCTGCAGAGCTTAAATACTTAAATATTGATCATGCCAGCATTATTATTGCATCTATAAAACTGATTCTAAGACTGTTGCTGGCTCAGAAGGATAAATTTTTTTCCTAAAATATGCTCATGTGGGTTTATATTTCGCTGCTTCAGTACTCACCTGCTTTAATAGATTGTGTAGAACTACCTGGAAAAAAAAAAAACAAAGAAACTTAAAAAAATGCTTTAAGTTTTTAAACAAGGTGTCTATTGAGAATATTGAAGTGTAATTTCAGAACTTCTCATTTAAAAATGAGAATTCTTTCAAAAATCCACTGTTCTAAAACCTAAATGCATATTAATGACCTCCCAGTAAAAGATGCTCTGTGCATTCGCACACATGCAGCCGCTACTCATACTCTACTTATAACTACACATCTGCTAATTTTTTTCTCTCTCCCCTCTCACTCCCCTATGTTTCTTTCAGAATCTGATGTTAAAAATGTTCTCTCATTAACCGTGTTTTGCACTGGAGATGAAAACTTCTGTATCAACTCTTGTAGGTGGAAATACTTACGGGTTAGTTTATAACCTAGAGCAGCAATGACAGCTGTAGCAAGAAATAAAATTACAAGGAAGGCCGTCATCCAAGGTGAAGTGGAAGGAAAGAAGACATCTGTAAAATACAAATGGTGTTCCTTTTACTCAATGTTTGCAAGACAGGTAAGAGAGGCTCCAGTGGCCAAAGCATATGCATCTAGTGCCAGTTTATTTGCTATAATCCCAGAATCCCAGAATGTCAGGGGTTGGAAGGGACCTCAGGAGATCACCCAGTCCAAACCCCCTGCTCAAGCAGGATCACCCACAGCAGGGTGCACAGGACAGTGTCCAGGGGGGCTTTGAATATCTCCAGAGAAGGAGACTCCACAGCACCCCTGGGCAGCCTGGGCCAGGGCTCGGGCACCCTCAAAGTCAGGAAGTTCTTCCTCACGTTCAGCTGGAACCTCTTCTGCTTCAGGTTGTGCCCATGGCCCCTTGTCCTGGCGCTGGGCACCACTG